TGAGGGAAAAAGATCCTCAACTGATGTTATGCACACACGTGGAAAAAAAGTATTGTGCATATCTGTATCTCACTGTCTACTGACTCAAAGCACAGCCTAAGGTTAATAAGTAAATGAGAATTACGGGAAAAAAGAGCATATAAGCTGTAACACAGATGGTGCCCTTAGATTCACTACAAATACAGATATCATATAATAGCAAGATCAACTTTACCTGAACATGAACTACAAACAGGTTTATTAGAAATGATAATAATAAGGAGATAAAAACTATAGGCTCAACATACTGTATGAGGTTAGGATAAAACAGCTGAACCTTACGTCTAAAGTCATCAATATATACACACATATGTGCTCATATACATACATACATACATACATATGTACACATATACATACATACATATATCCATATGTACACATACATACATACATACATACATATATACATACATATATACATATATACATACAGGTAAACATATATATACATATAAGTAAATATATATTTTTTATCTATATTTGTATATTTGTATATTTGTATATTTGGATAATTGGATAGTTGTATGTTTGTATATATGTATATTTGTATATATGTATATGTGTTTATGTAGATCGCATATGTGCAAATATATTTAGAATCATAAATAAAAGAGGAGGCTTTTCCTAAGCCTACTTACTTGTGATGGGAACATGTGCTGCCTGCTTGCGAAGGTGGTCTAGCAAGGAGCCAAGGGGGGCAATCTCTGTCACCATCATCAGCGGATTGGAAAGGACTATCCCAAACAATCTGGAACAAGTCAATAAAAAAATGAAGGCACAGCAGTATATGTGTTACTTTGTCAGTTAGTGTGGGTTATGAGGAGAGGTGGAACATCACAGATTGTGACTGTTCATATTTTTCAATGAAAGCTCAAAATTGGATCTAAATAAAAAGAAATTCTCTCTAGTCAGCTTTACCCAGTTCCTTAAAAAAATTTAACTAAACCAAACAAAATATAAATCATGGGCTCATACAAACATAAAAAATGCAAACAAGTACTAGATAACTGTCATTTACATTTTAAAAAAGGACAGTTGCTGATAGTTTTGTTCTCAAATTCAGATGGCATTACCTTGGTGGAGGTGATGCATTATCTACATATGGGTTATCCTCAACATTCCTGCTATTTTCATCAATTTCATACACAACACAGTCACTGTCTATTTCAAATTAGTCTACATGGGGGGATATGAAGGGATATGGTATCTCCAGCACTTATAAGTTGGCACTGAGAGCATGACTAGGGTATTTTGTTTAATTGTTCATATTGAGTTGTCATAAGAGGGAAATCTGCCCCACAAACTTTAAACTGAGGGAAAAAGATCCTCAACTGATGTTATGCACACATGTGGAAAAAAATTATTATGCATATCTGTATCTCACTGTCCGCTGACTCGAAGCACAGCCTAAGGTTAATAAATAAATGAGAATTACGGGAAAAAAGAGCATATCAGCTTTAACACAGATGGTGCCCTTAGATTCACTACAAATACACAGATACCATATAATAGCAAGATAAACTATACCTGAACATGAACTACAAACAGGTTTACTAGAAATGATAATAATAATAATAAGTAGGAGATAAAAACTATAGGCTCAACATACTGTATGAGGTTAGGATGAGACAGCTGATGCATCGCCTGAACCTCACGTATAAAGTCATCAAGGGCACCAGGAACATGGATGACATCCTGCTTCAGTATTTTGACAGCAACCTGGCATTTATAAAGGCTTTTAGCTTAGCACAGATATTGTATCTTTCAAAAACTTTGATAATCAATCTACAATAATACGGTGCCTACTAAAGTACTCAGAGATATATTGTACTTTGTCTAACTTTCTATTGCATTTGTGTTTACTTTTGAATGACACTTGCATCATTTGTAAGAAACATTATACTTTTGGGACACAACTGTATACATGCAGGACAAACTTCATTAAATTTGAACAAAACAGCAATATAATCATATAAACCTTATGCAAAATACCACCAGTAAACATATATAAAAGCTTTAAACTAATCTAAAATTCCTATTGCAATGTAAACATAACTCCAATAAAATAGCATTATCCTCACAGTTTCCAAGCCTTACAGTTTATGCTGTATCTGACCACCATCTAATTTTAAACCATTTAACTCATTCCTCACCTCTTTTATCTGTCCATTTGCAGTGGTCCATTCTCCACTTCTTACTACACCAAAGCTCCCATCACCTAATTTCCGTCCTTGAACAATGTCCTAACAAAAAATTACAAAGGACACTTGGAAGCATTAAACAAAGAAATAATATGAGAAATTAAAATGAGCTGATAAGCAAAATGTATTTCACTCTAGACCCAGTCACCATTCTTCTTCTTATAGACCAGATTTGCAGAGAAACATAATGATTGTATGTCATATACCACTCCAATTACCTTCTCCTGAATGAGACAGGTGAGGCTAGATGGTAAAGTGTCATTTGTCCTTGATGGAGGTGATCGGTGCTTACTTGACGGGGATCCGCCAGTAGATAAGATCTTTGACACCAAATTTTTTCTCCAAGCTGCAGCACGCTTCTTCTTGACAGTCTCCAACAGTCTTCTGGCTGCAGGTTTGCCAAGACCAATGCGCTCCAAGTCTTCAGTATGAACATACTCAAAGTGGCTTAGCCTTGTAACCTGTTGATAAGAGGATAATTAAAAAATTAGAGTTCATAAAAGGTGAAAATATTTCCAGGGCAATCCCCAAAATTAATGCTAAGCTACTTAAAAATCTTAAAAGACCAATTTTAAAACCAATGGGGTAAAATTTGGATACAGACAGAAGTAACTAATGTTTTATCATTATGAACAGAAATATACTCACATATATATACATACCTCTCTCTCACTCTCTCATTTTCTCTCACTAACTCTCACACTCACTCACTAACTAACTCTCACACTCATTAACTAACTCTCACACTAACTCACTAACTCACACTCTCACTCACTAACTCTCACACTAACTCACTAACTCTCACACTTACTCACTAACTAACTCTCACACTAACTCACTAACTCTCACACTCACTAACTAACGAACTCTCACACTCACTCACTAACTAACTAACTCTTACACTCACTCACTAACTAACTCTCACACTCACTCACTAACTAACTCTCACACTCACTCACTACAACTAACTCTCACACTCACTCACTAACTAACTAACTAACTCTCACACTCACTCACTAACTAACTAACTAACTCTCACACTCACTCACTAAACTAACTAACTACTCTCACACTCACTCACTAACTAAATAACTCTCACCACTCATCACACTAACTAACTCACTCTCACACTCACTAACTAACTAACTCTCACACTCACTCACTAACTAACTAACTCTCACACTCACTCACTAACTAACTAACTCTCACACTCACTCACTAACTAACTAACTCTCACACTCACTCACTAACTAACTAACTCTCACACTCACTCACTAACTAACTAACTCTCACACTCACTAACTAACTAACTCTCACTCACTCTCTCTCATTCATTCACTCACTCACTCTCTCTCTCTCTCTCACTCTCACTCTCATTCACTCACTCTCTCTCTCACTCTCATTCTCATTCACTCACTCTCTCTCTCACTCTTATTCACTCACTCTCTCTCTCACTCTTATTCACTCACTCTCTCACTCTTATTCACTCACTCTCTCTCTCTCCTCATCTTATTCACTCACTCTCCTCTCCAGTCTTATTCACTCACTCTCTCTCTCACTCTTATTCACTCACTCTCTCTCTCACTCTTATTCACTCACTCTCTCACTTCTATTCACTCACTCTCTCTCTCACTCTCTCACTCTTATTCACTCACTCTCTCTCTCTCACTCTTATTCACTCACTCTCTCTCTCACTCTTATTCACTCACTCTCTCTCTCACTCTCTCTCTCACTCTTATTCACTCTTATTCTCTCTCTCTCTCTCTGCTCTTCTCCTCTTCTCTCTCTCTCTCTCTCTCTCTCTCTCTCTCTCTCTCTCTCTCTCTCTCTCTCTCTCTCTCTCTCTCTCTCTCTCTCTCTCAAAGGAACCAACCTGCAGGTCATCACGTATCCTGGTGAAAAACTGTGCAAGCTGTACTTCCACCAGAATTGTGCGTATAACTTCCAAGTCATCTTCACCGACATCACCCATCAGTTTGAAATGTCTGAAAAAAAAATTATTGTAGGAAAGGAGGGAAGAGAAAATTATGAGAGAGATTATAGGTTTTCACATTGCAAAGATTGTCTTTTATACATATAAGTTATATTATGTAATCTTTGTTACCATTATTTCGCTTTTCAATCTCCACGTTGCGCCTATTCAAGAAAATTCCTAAGGAATGTTAAATAACAATACCTGATACTGTGATTTTCTAATTAAACAAATGCTTCTGATATATATAATTATCAAGATTTTACTGATTTTCTAGAAATTGGTATTGCATTCTTTACTCCAGCTAATGGTGTACAGCAACTGTAAGATTATGGCTTGGGTTTATTTACATACAAACCCTAGCAAAGCTCTAGAACAGGTCTGCATCTTAAATCCATATCATTTAATATCAATATATTCCTTATCATGCCTACTTTTCACTTGCAGTGGTTCTGATAGGTATTGGCCAACAATAGCAATGATACTAGTCTCAATAGGTGGGAAGGGATTGATATATCCCATAGAATTGCAGGGTAGAATTGGCTAATTGTAAAGGGTCAGTGCTCCCTAACCCCTTGCCTGGAAAGCAAAACCTCCACACACCTGACCAGCAAGACACTAGCCCTTACAAGAATGAATGATACACTTCTGACATTACCCAAATGAGACAATGGATCTAAGAGGTAAACGTTTCTCTCAATCAGCCCTGAATTATTCTTGTGCAATTCATACTAGTTTTTGATTGTTTTGTATTATGCTTATTACATTTCAACAATTAATGTATGCTGTTAGAAGTTAGTTAATAGACATTGATAGGAGTCCAATGATATACAATATGATAGATTTTCAGGGTTAAATAGAGGATATCAACATGAAGTATATCATGAAGAAAAATATATATTCCTTTTCTATATGATGTAATCAATATACTGAAGACCATCACTATGTATTTCACTACTGTTGCCCTTCTCCCTAGCATCCAATGACTTTAATATCTCAATTGCTGATGACTTCCTTTCTTCCATCCAATCCCAGATGTCAGACATGGGAGATCCTCTACTAATGAAAGGACTGACTGACTTCTCTGTAAAATTTATCTATACAAAAGATGTCTCCACAAGTGTTTAGATACTAAGAAGTCAATTAGTAGTCTACATGCCTTTGTCTGATTTTCCCTTCCTAAAGTTTTCAGGATTCTATTTTCTAATGCTATTAGTATTGATGTTATTATTGTTATAATTGACAAGTGTTAGTATTATTAACAATGATAACCAGTACAAATTAAAATATTTCTAAATATAAAGGGATAGGGTAAACAGGTGAGACAGATTGGACTGGTGATTGCCTCATTGGTGACTAAGCCCTTTTAGAGCCATCTAGGTATTAAAAATATTAACAACTTAAACTCACCGTGAGCATGGCAGCCCTGGTGGCAGTGGGTTTAAATCTATTACTCTGACATATAAGCAAAAGCATCCAATCCAGTTTCAAATCAAAGTCAATTTGTACAACAAAACGCAGGGAGTAATTTAAACTATCCTACCTGGCAGATGATACAAATTAAAGTTATTGTATAAATGCCTTTACATTATGAATCATGAAAAGTCTACTTCCTTGTTGAACTAAATGAAATCCTTCTTGGCATGTATTACTTTAGCTAAAGGAAAGCATTTGTACAATAGTTTAATCTTCAGAAAAAAAATGATTTCCCATTCCTACACAAATGCTTAACGCTCGGTGATCTTGCATTAACAAAGAACATTATGACGTCTGTAAACACTCCATATGAACTTTTATCAATCAAACTGACGTGAATTAATGAGCAACACTTACAAGCAATGTATTCAATAAAAGGATTATTCCTGACGGACACTGTCCACCAGTTAGTGTCCCCAAAGACTCATCGAGATATGTTTCTCATCAGCACACGTCCACCGTTACACACTAAAACAATCAGAGCCCAACATATTGTTCTAAAGTCACAGATCATTTAAAAAATAACGTCAAAAATACCCCCACTTCCGCTAGACGTCCACAGAAAGACCCCTTCTCATTACTGGTTCAGGAAGTTTGTTTAAAAGTACAAAAACGTTTTATGTTTTGAGTTTTATGTTATCATCTTTCCCTCTTGCCGATTTGAGGCTACTATCAAAGTAGAAGCGAATGAAATCGTCTAAAAACTGCATTTGCCGCGGCTACAAGGAGTTACCTGGGACAGCCTCTCTGACACTCATGTAAACAAAACCACCACGACACTGTTGCCAGAATACATCCTGTGATAAATCTCATTGATAAAATAAGTGGCTGCGACTTCTATAAATGTCAAATCTATTCTAAATCACCATAAAATGCATTTCTTTGCAAATAGCGTCTGACTGGACTGAAAAGCGTCAATATTCAGGGGGATAAGTAAAGATTCAATGTTAAAAGCTAATTTACCGTGTTGGCTACGATTGTTTAGGTCACCCGCCATGTTCCTAATAATTTTCTTGTTCGTCATTAGGACAGTTATCATGTATCATGAAAATATGTTGAATTCATCAAAATTATAATGATTATAAAACGATAATAAATACATAACTTCTCAGACATAACAATTACAACAATATGACACAAACTGACTATTAAATAGAACTTGAGAATAACCTAGTTACGTGGTCATCAGTTTTATCACCTTGTTTTTTTATACATATACTGAATCGTGAAATATTAACGCACTATATAGGTAAAACAAAATTTTACTGTCTGTATATGTTCCACTTTAGCGTCGATAATTTGGACAATTACTTATATTTCAGGTGTTGACAATGCATAGAAAAATTACTTTGATTTGTTGTTGACAATGCATGGAAAAATTACATTGACTTCACATTCCGTTTGGGTAAAAATATCCTTGCATATGTCTCTTCTATCTCTATTCATCATTGAATGTACTCCTCTACGTTTTCTTGTCTGTGTGCATATTTACCCTTATTTTTTTTCTCTCAAACACACTGCTAATCATCAATTTCAAACACACTGCTAATCATCAATTTCACGCTACCAGGATAATTTCACCATTATTGAACACGTCTTTACAAAAGAGAAAACAAACGACAAAAGAAAAAATCAGTTTCCGTCATGTGGTTTGCAAAGGACCGCAAATTTAGCGCAACGTGTCATTAGACAGCATGACTGGTTTCGCATTGATGAGAAGAATCTTGGTTTTAATTTCAATATCAGCATATTTTACCTTTCCACACCTTTGTTTGTCTCTGATCATTCTTAAAGTATCTTTATTCCTAG